GTAGGGTGGTAGGGTGGTAGGGTGGTGGTGGTGGTGGTAGCAGTATCCGTAGCAGTAGCAGTACATGCAGCAGCAGTAGTTGTTGTTGTTGTCGTAGTTGTAGTAGTAAAAAAAAAAAGTAGGGGGGCAGCAGCAACCTCTAGTGGCAGAGGTAGGAGGAGCACTAGCAGTGGCGTTGGTAGCGTCCGGAAGTGGAGGTCGTTGTTGCGGTAGCAGTATCGCCGGTAGGATGAGAGATATGTTCCTGGCATGCCGGGCGTCCACACGTGTCCTCAGGATGGTTGGTGTTGATGCAAGACTACCTGGAATGGATATTCCTGAGGCTCTGTGCGTCTTACATTTCCAAGTTGAAACACTGGGTTGGCTGTATTTCCGCGTCTTCCGAGTTGCGAACTCAATGAGTTGCGCAGGGCCAAGCAGTCTCTCAGTCCTTTCCCGTGGCCAGCAGCTGAGTGGACTGTTTTGCAACTTCCGCTCAGCTGGCGGTGGTGATCGGCTCCACTTGTTAACTTCAGTCCTCTGACCAACGCCATGCTGCTGGTATTCCATGCCACATGCTGCATAGGTTGCATCTTCTGCCGCAGCTCCGAGCAGGGGCAGCGGAAACCCTAACAGCTTGAGCCCAAGCACGTCTGGACATGTCAACTTATATATATATATATATGTATGTATGCATTCATGTATTTATGTTTGTATACAACAATATTATGTATATATATATATATACTTATACATATATATATATATCTCTCTCTCTCTCTCTCTTCAAGTCGCCTGTTCCTTCTTGCGTGCTGAGGCCAGAGCCGGATGCCGCCTTTGTCTTCCTTGGTGTCTCAGCCTGCACCAACTTTGCATGACTTGACACTTCGTACACTACCTATATTGGCTATCATAGCCTAGTGTACTTACCTCTGGCGTTAACCATATATACTTCATTGTACTATTTGTCTAAGATGTCTAAGGCGTCTCCCATCCTGAAGCAGGATGGGCTGTCATGTACTTGTGGGAGCCAGTGTCATGGCACCCGACTGCATGTTAGTCGCGGCTATGTAGTCTTATCGCTGATGGTTGTTTGCGTCTGGCTTGCTGCCATTATCTGGCCGTCTGTACTTTTCACAATACCGCACGAGCTGATGCACAGCCGCGTCAAAGGCGTGTCCGTGTGCATACGAACATACGTACAACTAATGCTGTCGGTACAAGCACTACCGGCGGCTACCGAGCGCAGAACTATGCTTTTTGCTCACCGCAAGTATGGATCCAGCGAAATCTGTCCAAACATCTGTGTCGAGGAACCAGCCAGTGTTAACTATGCCTTGCTATTTTGCTATGCCTGTCATAATAGGGCTATTTCTATTATCGTGATTTGTTCTTGCGATTATTAATCATATTCTTCATTTTTGTAGTATTGCTGATATTATTACTACTTGTCATGATTATTCGTAGTATTCGTAATAGTACTGCCTTAAGCCCCGTCTTGCTGACGGAGCTCTGAGGCAGAGAGCCCCTTCACGAGCCCGGCTCGAGGAGTTGCGCTCAGGAGCGCGGAGGGCTTGAAGTTGCTCAAAACATATTTTGGGGTTTAGGAGTTTAGGTTTGAAGGTTTAGGGGTTTAAAACCCCTAAGCCTTAAAACCTAAACTCCTTAGGGGTTTAGGGGTTTAGGATTTGAGAGAAAGATGCACTTTGGCTTCATTTTCGCAGAGGCGCTCTTCGAGAAGAGACTCGCGAGCAGGCCCTGTCCGGGATTCTGTGAGTTTTGCTTCTTGGGTAGGCCTCTTTATAGTATATATATATATATATATATTAAGGAACCCCTAACAGTAATATTGGTAATTATTTAGGCTTCTTGGAGTGGGTTTCGGAGATGTGTTCACGGCCAGGCCTCGGAGATCCCAACAGTGTGTTCAGGAGCAGCTTGCACAGCTGGCAAAGAGCAGTGTTCAAGCTGTTCGAGTGCCTTTGAGACCTTGCTCCTTCGAGCTTCGAACTGAGGTTGGGGTGGACGCAACCTTGCGGGATTCTCAGTACATCTCTTGCGCATTCAGAAATCGCAGAGATGGCAGATTCATTCTGCTAGGCATCTCCGCCACCAATAAGCAGAGGGGGGCTGAATGTGCAGGCTTGGCCTTGTATCTCTGCTAAGCCGGCATGTGCAGCATGGTATCTGTTTTTGGTTTTGGAGGCTTCCTGGGAACCGCTTGGCTACGATCAAGGTGCTCTGCTGTGTGAAGTCTTCCAGACGAAGCCTGCATAACATTGCTGAAGCGTGGCGGCGTTCTCTCCATCCCAGGTAGCCGACCTCATCCTTTTCACAAGGGGTCGGTGCCTTGCAGACGCTCCCAATCTCCTTGACGACATGTCGAAATTTGGGTTGTGGCAGGGTGCTTGACTTTTTTCTAAGGTCGCGCCATTCTGGTCACCGGGGGCCCGGGCAAGTACCCATCGGCAGAGCTGCCTTCATTGAATCCTTGGGCAATGCGAACGACACATCGCAGTTGCCAGGCATTAACCCTTCGATCCAGGCTCGTATGATACAGTCGGAGGACTCTGCGCAGCTTCTCTGCTGTCGTCACGCGCGGGCAGGCACAAAGCGCCATGCTGCGGGAGATGTATCCGAATGTTGCTATGGGAGGCCTTCGAGAGCAGTTTGTAACAATATACTATCATATTACACTTTCTCAAACGTTATTAGATTCTACTTCATTCTACTATCTTCCAGTATATCAGACTCTACTCTATAACCCCCAAGCCCTAAACCCTATGGTATAGTCTAGTATAGTAGACTATAGTAGACTATAAAAAACTATAGTATAGCATAGTAGACTTTAGTATACTATAGTTATAGTTATAGTTATAGTTATAGTTATAGTTATAGTCTAGTCTGTTTTATGGCAGGGAATGCTCCGAGCAGCCAGGCCCTGGACCGGGTCCGTTGTCCTTGGCACCCACAGGCCCGTGGCCCGGGCCCCCGGGATGGACCTGGGTAGGTCTCTAAGTTAGGGTCCCTTTAGGGACCCTTTTAGGGGTTTAGGGTTTAGGGTTTAGGGTCCCTTTAGGGACCCTTTTAGGGTCCTTCAAGGGATCGATGAGGGTTTCTATAAGGGCGCTATAAGGGTTCTATGGGGTTTTAGGGTCCCTACTGCTGATGATATAAATCCTGCATTACCTTGAGGACCCTAGACTAAGGGAATTATGGTATATTCCTTATTATGGATAATGCCGGGTTTATATCATCAAAAGTAGGGAACCTTTTAGGGTCCTTAAAGGGATCGATGAGGGTTTCTATAAGGGTGCTATACAGGTTCTATGGGGTTTTAGGGTCCTTCTTGTAAGTGTGCCGTACTATCTTGGGGACTTGAAAAGGGACCTTAATTCAGAGAACTACCCACATGCTGGTCTGCACTTGTCTGCAGGCTAAACATGGGCCAATCCCTCGCGAGCAATCTTCGTGTCACCAACCGGTTTCACTCAAAGCTCCCGAAGCGGGGCTTGTAACATTATCATGACCAACTCTAGCATGCGAAGGCTAAACTTATGAAGCACAGCCTCTGGAGTGCCAGTGTGGCTGTGCTTCTCATTTGGATCGGAAGCTTCTGCTATCAGAGTATTGCATGTCGTGCTCCCTGAAAACGAGATTGTGCCATGATAGTGGAAAAGTTGCGACGAGATGATTGCAGAAGCATGTAGTGTTAGGTAGTCTTCGCAGTCGGGCGCGGTGGATAAAAGCATTGCTCTTAGCTGCCATCCTATGCCAAGACCCCGGGAGGCTGAGGCGCCAGGTCCACAGTTAAGATGTCCGTAAGAGCCTTTCCCAGGCGCAAACATGCATAAGGCATGGCCGACTCCTGACGTAAATTCACCTTGGGACGGAGATGTTGATGTTGCAAAAGCAGGGGCAAACAGACAACGGGATACGCTGAAGGCACCTGTGATGGGCAGCACCTTCCACATATGACACCCGATAACAATGAACCGGAACAGGTGGCGACCTGTGCACAACAAAACACATCTGGGAGTTTCCGAAAATAAGAGGTACCTTATTTTGGGGTCCTTAGAATAAGGATCCTAGTATTTAGGGTTCTTTCTTAGGGTCCCCTATTTTCGGAAACCCCCATCTAGGACGGATGCACCAGGATCAGGAGAAGTTGGACATTGGTTCCGTATCGCCGAGTGTGCTAACAAAGCCCGAAAACTACAGCTACACCGTCGCCCGGGTCGAAATTGTCCCACTACCACGTGCAAAAGGAAAACGCTAGAAACACAAGCAAGGCATGCATGACTTGGCAAGGAGATTATTATTGCAGTAAGAATATGGTCCCCACATCGAAGCTGTTTCTCCCATTTGTGATCGAAGTAGTTCATGGCCTGGCCGTCTGGAACCGAAGTGGGTTTCACTTGCACCCAGAGCCATAACAGTTGCATTCATGTTACCATGGAAACGGATCAAAGCCAAAGTGGCACAACATCTGCTTGTCGTTGGAGAGGCTACCGCACCGATCTGTAGCATCTTGTGAATATATCTTACGGCAGGTCGCTAGAGGGTGCTTGCTGCACAGAAAGATTTTCAGCCTCAGCTGTCGTCTTGGTGCAGATTCAGTCTAGTCTGGCCATATTTCGCCATGGCATCGTGGTCGAGTCATGCAGGAGGCCGTTGGTTCCGAGTCACCTAGGAAGCACTGTCCGACATTCAGCAAGGTGGTCAAAGTGCTGTGGGGGCTCGCAGTGGGCGTCGGTGCCACGGACTGCACCTCTCCCCAAGAGACATGGGATTACATTCGATACCTGGACCAAGACATTGCTGCACCTTGGCTAGATGTTTTGGGGCGTTGGGCTTGCTTGAGGTATCGCTGCTTTTCAAACCGCATTCGCTTCTGGTGCAGGCAGTGAGCCCGCTGCCTCGCGAGGGCCGCGAGCTGTTGTACCAGTTCTGGCATTCGCTGGGTTCGGACCCCGCCAACCGCGCCGAGAACTCGGCAAAGTGCGCTCCAGGCTGGCATCTCTAGTGACATCTCGAGGATCTCACTTAGGCTTGGGGCTACGAAGAATGCTCTTTGGTCCAGGCATGGCAGCGGTGATGCTACACTCCTTGTCTTTCATCGACCGGGACGAAGGCGAAGCGGCTGCGGCAGAGGTCTACCGTCAGGCTGAGCGCTTGGTGAACTCTCTCAGAGGCGCGACAGACCTTCTCTGAACAGTCCCCGAGTCTAAGATTGAGTTGGGGCATCTGCAGGATGGAGCGGATGGCGTGTGAATCTGACCTGGCACGAAGCAGCGCCGAAGCTTTTGGGGTTGGAGCCTTTGCCGGATGCCCAACTCTGTGCTGAAGAGCATCGTCCGAGATTCTATGTCTACGACACCGGTGACTACGCACGACCACTCTTGAGCTGTGCCTCGGGTATGGAAGGTTCCGAGGTGATGCTTCACCGATTCCTGCTCCGAAGCCGGTGCAGAACCAGGGACCCAGCCGAAGCAGACTTCTTCTACGTGCCCTTCTATTCCTTCTGCTTTCAGTCGCTCGGCCGCAGTCGCTGTGCTGTGCATGACTGTGGCCCGGCGGCGCTGGGTGACGCATCTGGCAGGAACCTGCATATCAAGCCCGGCACCGAGACCGAGGAGCTGGACAAACACAACATAGCTGTCGTCAACTCCCTAGAGCACTTCGATGTATACCGAAGAAGGCACAGAGCAACATAGCTAACAAGATCTCACGGCCGAAGGAGTTTCATTCCTGTCAGCTACCATAGTTACAGGCAGCACATTTTCCACTTCGCCCACGAGTTCTGGGACTTTCCATCCTGGGAGTCGTACGTGGCAAGAGCAAAGATCTTCGCAGTGGAAGCGAACCCATTGATCGATGTCGTGAACTACCGGCACTGCAACCTGCTTGCAGCCGAGTGTTGTCGTCTTGTCAAACAACTGGCACAGTTTATTTTTTGAGCCCGCTCGTTTCACGCGGGCGGTAAGGTGTTTCGTGCTTCGACGCCTGGAAGGATGTGGTTGTGCCGGGCCACACAGATGCCTGGGCCATGCGAAAGCTTCGTGAGAAAGGGAAGCCGAGCACCGAACGTCGCTTCCGCTTCTGCCGCTCGGCAGCATGCAGATCCGTCCGGCACTCGTCAGAGAGCGCTCTACCTGGCCTCGGCCCCCTGCATTGGAGGCTTCCATGGTGCTATGCGACACGATCTCTATGAGAGGACACATGCTGAAGGCCGGAAGCAGACGTTGCTTGAAGCCAACTTCCCAACATCTGCCCAGCTGAGCGAAAGTGAGTTCGCAGGCAGGCCGTTCAACGGTAGCCGAGCCGCAGACACCCGACGACAGATTCAAGCCTTCGCTGGCGAGCACCTTGCCAGAGCGATGGTCCCGCAAGGTGGTGATGGTCCCACGAAAGTGTCTACAGGTGATCTCTATAGTTGCTCTCTGGCCCCAGCCGAGGTCCGATGCAAGTATCGGGCCTCATATTACTCCACTTCTGGACACAGCTTTGTCAAAACTGTTTGGGCCTCTGCATAGCTTTGGGAAGCGGCACTAATTCTACACGAGGACTACTACGGGCGTGTGGGAGATTGCATCTTCTGCCTGGTGCCGAAAGGCGTTTCTTGCTGCTTATGGGTAGTTCTCTAAATTAGGGTCCCTTTGAGGGTCCATTTTATAAGGGTGCCGTACTATATTGGGGACCTAAACAGGGACCCGAATTGAAAGAAATACCCTTATGTTGTGGATCTTCCGGGGTGGGCTCCCGGAGGTGTCGGCTACACCAATGGTCGCCTTTTTGAGGCTTTCTTCGCAGGCCGGAAGAAGTTGCATTCTGCGGAAAAGCGCTCGGGTAGTTCTCGGGTCCCCTTTTGGGTCCCCAATATAGTACCCATAATTTTGAAAACTGCCCACTCTTGTTCCGTGTTTATCCAAAGGCTGCATCCCTGTGATTCTGTCGGATGCTATGGTGGTGCCCTTCCAAGCGTCCGGCACTCTGCTCTCAAGAGCTCCAGGCCTCTTCGGCGGCTCCTTTGCGTGAGCACCTGGATGCAGGTTTCTTCCATGGCCCGACTTTAGCATGAAGCTTCCCATGGGTCCGGGCCTCGGACTCAAAACTCTGAGCCTCCCAAAGCCCGAAGCCTTCTGAAGTACTCAGATGACGTGGCACGGGCCGTTCACCTGCTGCGGGCGATGCCATCAGCAAGGATAGCTCAAATGCAGGACGCCAGTTAGGCCATGATGGCATGAGAAGCCCTCACATGTCTTTCAAGCATACGTGTACGTAATAAACGCAGTGTGTGGAAGTTCGTGAGGAGAGTTTATTGGAGAATGCCGGCTGCCCAGTTCTCTGAGTGCTTGCTCAGAAAGGCCGTTCCGCTACCGTGAAGGCTTGCTGGTTCGACTACTACTCACAAGATCCGTCGTGCTCACCATACGAAGGTGTTCTCCGCGTACACGGCCCAGCAGGCAGATCGGCTTTTGCAATCAGGTTGCTCGGTCATGCTATCCAGGTGCTCGAGATGCAGCAGGACAGGCCCCACCGAGAGGCGCAGCGACCCGTGGACTGTGAATTCGGCTATGCAAGGTGTTTCTTGTCCGGTCTGAGCCCAGAAAACGAAGCTGCATACCCATGGGCTGCGTCGGAGTGCCTCATTGCAATATCATGTCGCACCGCTGCGGAATCCGCTCGACATTTCAGGGCAAACTCTACACCAGTGCCGAAAACTATCCTGACCTAGCCGATCACAATGTCCGATGATTGAGCTAAAACGCTGCAGACACAACACGCAAACCTCACGCAGGGATGTCATCACAGAGTGCATCTTACGACACAGAAACAGTCTGGTCCGTGAGGTCCGTGATGTAAAGTCATGTACATGAAGAAAACGCGAGGTGTTCGGTTGCAAGACTCATCTTTCCAGCAAGGCGGATACCAGTGAAACCGTGAGCGACTGCGGCGGGGTAGAGCTTCTAGGATAAGCACTTCTTTAATTCACACCATCTTGCTTCCGGCTCGACAGGGCGAGCTACATGATTTGAAAGATTGTCGGATGTTGAAGCACCTGTCTGGCAGATCCGCCAACTGCCGCTCTTCTGGAAATCGGAAGGACGGGCCAGCGCTTCGCAGTTCTGCACTTGCTCTGATCGCGTCCCTTGACGAGGCTTCTCGCCCTAATTTCGAGCAGCTCTTCCAGCAGCTCCAACTTCAGGTGCGACCATCGCTCTCGCCTTCACACATTCAGCAGCCCTATGCGCGAGATTTCGCGAGGTCCGTGCTCCCGGCGGCATCAAGAGCAACTGCAAGGGAGAGGCTTCCAACCTGGCAGGGAAGGCTCTCCTTTAACGCCACAACATCGCTGACGGCGGCTGAGCCGGGTGCAGAGCCGTTGATCCATAGCCAGCTGAAAACGACGTGGGCATCGCGTGGTTGCCACGTCAGAGTTCTTGCAGTTCGACAGCCCCCCAGAGGAGCAAAGGCAACCAGTGAGCCGCCAGGTAGATCACTGGACACCACCAGGCTGTAGCGAAATGCATCATAGGATGCGCGGCAACTTCCATGGAAAAGAGCTGGGAACTTGCTAGCTTGCAAGGGGGATTTGCACTGTCAACTCTCAGCTTAATCTTTCAGACCATGTTATGCTCGCTGAATTAAAGAATGGTTGGACGTGGCCAGTTTGCGCAAGATGCACATGCACAGGAATCCCCTGGTAAATCCCTGGTGATAGCTCCAAGATAGAGAAAGAAGCCTTGTCTTCGGTCCGGGAGGCCATGCCTTTGGCATTGTCACGGCAGCTATTTTGCTTGAGTGGTGCAGCTGACCAAGATTACACCCGCTAAACTGTACTTTGAGACTAGATTACACTGTGTTGTATTGTATATACTATATTCCACCGAAAGCATGCTCGAAGACACAGCTACGACACGAGACTGCATGATGGAAGTGTTTGCCGGATGCCCAATAACGAGCACGAGCACGGCATAGAGATAGAGCTTTCCAGGCGACCTGATTTTTTTGCGTTGTTCTTCAATTTGCCATGCGGGAGCGCAATTCCACGAGCAGGCGCAGCTGGAAGGCTGCTGAATAGCTGATGTTTTGTAGACCAAAGCAGCAGCTCGTAGTTTGAATGCTTGTCGTGGTTGTGCTGCAGGCTTCGCAGCTTCTGATTGCTTCCCTAGCGATCGGCACCTGCAATGTGGCAGTTCTGAGCCCAAGCATCTCCACAGTTGGATCCAGCATCAGGACGAGATACTGCCCGCCGTGGCAGCATGGGATTTAAGGTAGCCTTCGTACGCGGCTTCCAGGGCTGCAGCCAAGCCCCTTCGCGCAAGGCAACCTGTTCGCGCTCACTTCAGTGCCATGTTGTCTCTGCGCCTGGGCTCTCTTGCCGTGCAGGCACGGTCGGCCGTGCTGGCCGGCCCTGAACTCGGCACTTACGGAATTTATAGAGTTTTTTCGTGGCTTTTAATGCTGTTCTACAAGGCGAGCAGCTCTTGACCGTTGCGGTACTCAAGGCAAGTGCGGCGACTAGTAACGAGAGACAGAGAAAGAGGGAGGGATGCATTTTTGCGCGGGGGCAGTGCCTGGATCTGTCCTTTGGCTGTGTGGAAGAAGAGAGGGAGGCATTTTTGTCCCGACTGACCAGTGGACTTCATCGCCGGGGTGGGCAGACTGAAGCAGCGGTTTTTTGCCGAAATGTGGGGAACTCCAAAAGAGGCTGGCTGTCGACGCCCCGGAGTCTCGCCGAGACTGGGGAAAGCACCACACGTCACCAGACTGAAAGCGATATTGGAAGCAGATACTCCCTCTTGCCTTTTTGGCAACCTGCACCAGAAGCCTCGGCAGAGGAATACCAAAGCCGGCTCCCACATACAAAGCGACGCACGCAACTGTGGAGAGGCAGCCTTGCCAGTCCCTGGAGAACCCAACCACCCGAGCCAATGCGGGCGTGCTGGCATGGTGATGCCGAGGAGGACGGGGATGAGCGAGACTTGGGCCTTGAAGGAAGGCGAACGTTCCAACCCGCCAGTTCCGAGTCCAGTGATTTGGGACACTTGCGTCGTAGCTGTCGCACACGTGCCTTACACTTTTGCGAGAGTGGGGGCCATGCACGGGGAAGGTGGCAACCGTTGAGCATATGCATGACCTTCCACAGTGCAGTATTGAGCGTCAGGTTTGGCGATTTTGGATTGGCAAGGCCGACAACTAGACAGGAAGTCAGTGCGCTCGTGCGAAGGCGGTGCGTGAAGGGGCCGAGGACGGGGATCAATCAGTCTCACAGTCGCCAGGAAGACTGGACGCAGGCAGAGGATTGGGGGCATGTCCACTACTCCTATGAGCGTGGTTTATGAAGAAGAAGAAGAAGCCGGGCAAGCAGTTTGGTGCACTCCTGCCCAAATCCGCATCAATGTCAGGAAAAGCTGAGAGAAAAGGGCGGGACCCTTGATGTTTGGCAATATCCGCACATCGGCCTTGCTGGTGTCGTGGCCAAGGTCTGTCTACGACAGGCCGCAAGCAGGAACTGCTCGAACGGCTGGAGGGGGCCCTCTGCTCGGCACATGGAGCGGAGAGGTTGTAAGTTTACGACGTCTCAAAGATACGGTGGATGATATAAATCCTGCATTATCCGAAGTAAGGAATATACCATAGTTCCCAAAGTTTAGGGTCCTTAAGGTAGTGCAGGGTTTATACCATCAACCGTAGTCATTGAAGTCATGTAGAATACAACGAACTACTACTACTATTACTAGTTACTACTACTACTACTACTACTACTACTACTACTCCTGCTGCTGCTGCTGCTACTACTACTACGACGACTACTACTACTACTACGACGACGACGACGACGACTACTAACAACGACGAATGCTCTACTACCACTACCAGCCCTCCCTCTGCAGCTGCTCCTGCTGCTGCTGCACCGCCTCCGTGCTGTCCATTGCCAATGACAGGGTTGTTTGGCTGCGCTTACGTGTGTGCTAGACCATTGTCTTACTATACTGTTTTGTGGGACCGGACCGTAGTGTTACTGTACTAGAATCTTTTCGGGATAGTACATGATTTGTCAGAGTATCAGAGTTCGTATGCGTTAGCATGTGCAGATGCGGAATCGGAGAAACACATTTTGCACGTGCGTGTGTACGTATGTGTGTGTGTGTATATATATATATATACGTATACGTGCATATACATAGGCTATGTATGCATGCATGCATG